CTGCAGAGATGCCTGTTATTGACAGCGGGAAACAATGGCTGAAGGTGGTGATAGGCGATTACCCGGGACAGACCTCTCCTGTAAGCACCCATACCCCTATGTTTCTGTACCACCTGAAAATTAAAAAAGGTGAAATAGTGACACTGCCGGTTAAAGAAACCGACAGTGCGGCCCTGTATATTCTGACTGGAAAAATTAAGGTACTGAACCAGCAATCCACTGCCGGAGAACTGGTTAATTTTCATATAGATGGCAACCAGGTAGCATTTACTGCATCAGAAGACGCAGAAGTATTGTTCCTGGGTGGGACACCTATCAAAGAGAAAGTAGTTAGTTACGGCCCTTTTGTAATGAATAGTTTTGAAGAAATACAGCAGGCCATTGCTGGCTATGAAGCCGGCAAAATGGGTGCACTGGAATATTAATACAACCATACGTTAACGGAAACAAAAAGCCGCCTTTGATAAAGGCGGCTTTTTACTTATTTATAAACCCGGCGAGTTGTCTGATTTATTTATTTCCGAAGTAGATGTACATCAATACATTTTTTTCCCTTTTCTCAAGCATAGGAGCCAGTTCTTCCAGGAAAGCCGGTGCTACTGCCGGGCAACCCTCAGATTGTGTAATGGGCCATTTGCTTTCATCTTCAGGAATGCTGCCCATTGAATGCAGCACTACATACCTTCTCAGTGCATTATAGTTGGTTTTTTCCAGGCCATATAATTTAAACGATAACCCAAATGCACCATTGTATGACTTACCAATTCTGTAGATACCCAATGAAGTACAGTTGCTGCCGCCATCGTTAGAAAACTGCCTGTCGAAAGTAAACCGCTCGTTGCCTTTGCCATGAGCTACCAGTCCTTCTTTAATTACTTCATTGTTTTTCAGGTTTACTACCATGAAACGCTTTTTGCCCGATTTAACTTCCATATCAACAAAAAAAGCTAGTGTAGTATCATAGTTATTTTCCTTCGCAAATTTCCTAAGGGTCTTTATTCTTTTATTAAGGGCTTCTGCAGAATATTTATCTGTACCAGCTTCTTCTTTCACCCTCATATAAGACTGCGGAATATAAACATACTTACCACCCTTCTCAATAATCTTTGGCACTGCGGGTTTGGTAACTGCTGCTTTTGCAATAACATTATTAGTGATAGCGGGTTTTGCTGCAGGTGTCTCAGGAATATATTCCGGTGGACCTACAAAAACAGCTTTCCTGTTTTCAGGCAATTCATACTTGGCGGCACCGGTATTCATTGCAAAGTCTGACGCTGCTACATTGTTGCTGTTCATCAAACGTGTGCCGGTGCAGGAAGTAAAGAAGACGGCACCAACAAGGGCTAAGGGTAAATAAAATTTCGGGTACATGTTTTCAAAGGGTTAAGATGACAATGGGTTTTCTACGGATTATGGATTTTAGCAACACAAACTTCGGTTTCTACTTATCTGCGACTAAGAGAATAGTCCGTGTTGCTGATACAAATGTCTAAAAAAGCAGTAATTAGTGCAATAGTAGTTCTACTAAACCCATTGTATATAAGCCTGTTTACCGATAAAACCCGGCGAATTGCCGGGTTTTATCGATTTTTGGAACGATTTACAATTTTTGGAAAGGCTTTATATTATTGGAATCTCAGGTATTCATTGGAAAAATGCAGTGCAACTGGGAAATATTAGGCCTATTGGAAAAATGCTTAACCGTTGGAACAATGTACCGTTTTGGGAATATTTTTATCTTAGTGTCTTGTTTGTGCATCATGTTTCTGACGATAAATAACACGGCTGGCACGCTTTTGTTCCCTGTGTAATTTTGCGCGTTCCTTTACTGTAACTACGCCATCTGCTTTTGCTGCTTTCTTATCTGCCTGAATTTTCGCCTGGTGTGCTTCCAGTTTCACCGTTTCCCTTTGCAGTAAGCTCACCGCTTTCTAACACCACCTGCTATTCTCTTCTGCTGGTTCTCCTGGCGCTTCACGTACACGCGGTATTTTTATTTGTGACATACCTGCAAAACTTACGGATACTAAAGCCAGTACTAAACCGGCGGCAACAAAATTCTTTTTCATAAAGTTGGTGGTTTTTATTTTTTTAATACTTACACATAATAGACAAGCTGCAGGCAGCCAGGTTTAAGAAATAATAAAAAATACTTACTGAACAAAAGAAAATAATACACCATATGCACCAGTCTACTGCAGTAAAAACAAACCGGGCGCCAGGGTACTTTCCCTAAACGCATCAAGGGAAAACGATGCTTATTTGCTTTTTCCCATTCAGCGTTGCGCTGCCGTATAAAAAAATCAGATGATACTATAAGTAACGTTTGTTACCGGCCTATAACAATAAAGCCCGGCGAAAATGCCGGGCTTTATTGTTATATATTAAATCTCTTATTAAGGCCTTGACTGTGCATCGTGCTTCTGACGGTGAATAGCACG